CACTGAGCAAATACTGCTAAATCCCTGCAAACACTCCCTGCTGAAGGCTGCAGTTTTCCTCCCTTGAACAAGACTGGCTCTTGGGACGTGTTTTTCTCCTAAAGAAATAACCCCAGCACCTTTGTGTTCCTGCAAAGCCAGGGCTGCCATTGCTGAATTTCCAAGTAGTTACTTCCAGCTGCTTCCCAATCTCACAATAAGCAGCTCCTCTGCTGTTTGCTTTGCCAGGGTGCGTCCTTGAGAGCTCTGTGGCAGCAGGCTGTAGGGGGTGGTGTGGTGTGTAGGGGGGGTTTCCACATGGACTGGCTGCTGTGGTGTGGGGCTGGCACTGCTGCAGGTGAACAGCTTAAGCATTGCCTCCTAGAGCATGGCAGGACCTGGCATTGGCTGTGGGCAAACGGGAGCTGCTTGGATTCAGGCCCTCTGTCTCTGGGCGCTGTTTGTGCTGCTCCTGCTGGGGCTCTGCTGCAGGGTGGAGCTGCTTTCTGCCTTCGCCCCATGCACAGTTTTAGTCCCGATGGGCCTCAAATCTGTATTTCTTACAGCTTTCCTTCTGTTAGCAGAAAATGAGTAAAACTGAGCTCTGTCTCCCAAGCTCGGATGGCTCAGCAGCTCCATCCCGCAGCGCCCAGCCTGGCAGCGCCGCTTGGCCTCACATAGAGACACATTGTGAGCCATCACTGCTGCCTCGGGCCAAGGAGCATGTAGGTCAGCAGAAGGGCAAAGCCTGGGGAGCAGCACTCGGGTGCTCCAGCACAGGGACGTCTCACTGCAGCCCCATCTCTGAGATGGGATCACCCCCGTGCTGCTGGAAGGCTGCTGAGGGCCACGTGTTGCTCCTCAGCGCGGGGTGCGTTTTGTATGTGAAGGGAAGTGTGGCACATGGGGCAGATGTACTGCATCTCCTTCCTACTGCTGACTGCACAGGATGAAGAGAGACCTACAGAATTAAGCAAGACGGATCCTGCCCCTTAATTCTGTTCATAACCCTATTAGCTCAGTTTTAAATGCAGTTAGGAGTAAGGGGATCAAAACACCCTTTTAGGCAGCTGGTCCTGAACCCTGATCCGCATTGGCTAGATACTCCCCTATTTTTGGCTTAAACGTATTCCTGGCAGGCTTATCCTCCTTGTTTGTCTGTGTTGTGTGCTGGCATCAGCAGTTCTTCTCTGCTCCCTGGTGTTTATTTTCTTGGTGTACTTACAAAGAGCTTAAACACTTTTCCTCGACCTCTGTTTTTGTTAGTGTCAGCAGGCTGAATTTCAGCTCCACCTGCCCAAGAAAGGTGAATTGATTGTAACCAGATCTTCAAAGCTGTAGGTAATGATTAGGACAGCTCTGAACCTGGAAGACTACATCTGGAGTCACTGTGTCAGAGTTTGGCCTTTCTGCTCTGGGAAATTTGTGCCTTCTGCTTTTATTCACATGTGATGAAGTTTTCACCGTTGCTGAAGTCGTAAGGAGGCTCTTAGATCAAGGGTTGGTCTGAAAACACCCACCCATGTGTAGGGTGCTTGCTGTCTGACTTTCTAAACAACCCATACTGTTGTTCTGTTGTTTCCTTTGACCGTGTTGCAAGTTGGAGTCATCTTCATTTGTCAGCCTCTCAGTCATCATGCGAAGGTCATTAGTGAGAGTACTTAATAAGACTGGTTTTGAAACAGAACCTTAAGGAGCTCCCACTTATCTGGCATTTCTGCTCTTTCATATGGCCTGTTACCATCTTTCCCTTAGCTGCTTCTGTTTTCTGATTTCTGATATTAATCTGTTCTTTGCCTAGTGAATAGTTTCTTACCATGATGTCCTCTCCAAAATGTCCTGACCGCTGGTGTTTCTAGCGTGCAGGAACTCAAAGGAGTGGGCAGGTGGTAAGAGGTGTCACCTTTTCAACATGAGGATGTTTTCCTTTCCTCCTTGGCAGCCCCACTTCCCCCTACGGATGTGCAGCAGAGCCCTGCTGGCATCGCAGTGTGAGGTGGCGGCAAGAAGGCAAAGTACTCTGCACCTCTGGGGCTCCTGACTGTCCCGTCTGTTTGGCTGTCTGCCTCTGTGCTTCCTCTCAGCACAGCGAGAGATTCAGCAGGGCATGTGGGGAAAGGCATGGGAGGGCACAGTGCCTTCCTTACAGGATGGTGGAGCTTTGGGGTGGAGGTGCTCTGCCAGTGCAAACGTTGGGAGCGATGGTTTCTCAGGCTGCTTTCTAACAATTCTCCTTGGCTGTTGTCTAGATGAAGATCTCTTTCAATGAGACGAGTTTGCAGACCATGTTTGAGTATCCATCCGAGAACTCACTGGTGGAAGAGGAGGAGGAGGAGGAGGAAGGACACACTTCTGAAACAGAGGAGGACAAATCTCACACCTTTCACATTCCACGCCCGAACAGCACTTTGCATCCCAGTGCAGCTAACGCAGGTGGGTGAGGCACAGCTACTGCAGGGCTGCTGGTGGTGTCTGTCCCTGTCTGTGTTGCCTCCAGCCGTAATGTGCCCCAGACAGCTGGAAATGTTAGCAGAGGTCATATGACAGCAGAATTGGTTTCAGTGGGGACAGAGTTTGAAACCAGATCAGGGAATTCCCAGACCTCTCTTGCATGAGATGCAGTGAACCTTAAAAATGTAAAACTTAAAAATGCCCTTTATGCTGAGAGGGTTGGTGCTGCTGCAGTGTCTGCTAGCAGCTCTGGGCAGGGGAACTGACAGCCACTGCAGAGCATGGCACAGGCTTGTAACTGCAGCAGGAACAGGGTCCTTGCCCGTCCTGCAGATGGGCAGCTTCCATCCCGTTCCTGCCAGAGTCATGACCCCTCTTCCTTTTGGGGTGGCGTGAGTGGCATTCATGTCAGCTTTGTCCTTGCAGCAGATCTATCCAGCTACACCCCAAAGCACTCTGTGAAGTTCAGCAAGTGGCAAGAGCAGAAGTATGAGGAGATGCCTGCTAAGGGACCCCTCCTGAAGGAAGCTGATTCCCATGGGAACCAAGTTATGGTGAGGCTTCAGAGTGGTTTCTGCCTTTGTTCTGGGGTGCTCTCCCTCTGGGCAGCGGGTGGGACAGGATCTGCCTTCTCCAGAGCACATCTGAGAGCTGTGGCACACCTCCCCGGGCAGTGGGAAGAGATTAATGCAAGCTGCCACTGCCACCAGCTGCCCTACCTCCTGTGTGTGTGAAAGGCAGTGGTAAGGCAGCTGGCACGCTTTGTGCTGCAGGGCACTTCTGGAGGGGAATTAAAGTACTCACCAGCCCAAGGCAAGGTGCCACCGCAGCCCTCGCCACCAGAGGCATGTGTCCTCGTTTGCTTTCGATTTGGTGCCGATTCCATTTCAACTGTGCTTTCTCCACAGCTCACCCCAGCTGAGAAGGGCGGACTCTCTGACTTCAGCAGCGAGCCTGCGCTGTACTTCTGATTGCTCCATCTGTGAGCCTGCAGCAGCAGCTGCTGGGCAGAGCCTGGCAGTGCACCATGGAAACCAATGCCTGGGTCCCTCCCTCATCGCAGTCTTCACAGCGTCCTGATGCCAAGGGTGGACTTGATGCCATTGGGCGTCTTTGGAGAATATTTGCACTGGGTTCTGGGTCCTACACGACTGGTTTTTTAATGCGTATGGTTTATTCTCCTTGTGGCCTTGCATATTCCTTGTTCAAGATCAGCTGTCCATTAGACAGGTATCTTAAAGCAGTGTGTAACCCCAGGATGGATGTAGATTCTCTCAGTGCTTATGACTGTGCTCATCCAAGTGCTGAATGAGGCCTGGACAGCATTTTTGTAACACTTCTCTCATGAGAGGCCCCAGTGAAGAAAGCTGTGGCAGGTGGCTGGACTCACTGCATTGGTTCTGACAGCCGGGTTACAGGGGCTGGAAGAACTGCTAAAGGTTCATGGGTTGTTCTCAGTGTGTTTTTGGGTCTAGTTTCACCAAACTGTCATGGAATTTATGTGCCAGTTAAGCACTTGTGAAGGAAGCTGAATGCACTGTGTAGGTGATGGGGAGGGGAATAAATGCCTTCAGCATTAGGTGTCACTTTTGCACTGGCAGCAGGAAGCACCCAGTCCAGCTTGAGCCTTGTGAAGGTTCCCAAACATTGGCCATAGCTTTGATCTCTCTGTAACTGCCTCTGCTCTCCAGTCTCTACTGCTAATTGTGCTTGTTTGCCAGTTGCTCTTGTTTTGTTTTGGTATCTAATGGGGCCAGGCCTTAGGTTTGTGTCTTAGGTGGTGGGGAGACTTGCTTCTTGCCTTGCTCACTCTATTTCTCTATGCAAAGCACACGAGGGCCATTTCACTCCTTCTTTCTACAGAACTTGAACAAGGAATATGATTTTTTTTTCTAGTATTTTTATAGTTCTGTTGTAATTGTTTGATGCAGCCAATATGCAAAGGAATCTGCTAGACTCTTCCATTTAAATTTTCTACAACTGTACACTCAGGGTCAAAATTACACTCTGGAAAAGACTGAACACTGCTGCTAATGTGATTTGTATTTCTGGGATTAAAAGAGATGCAGTTGGAATAGACACAGCCTCTTTGGGCTTTATGAGAAGGGCAGTGCCCCACGCGTGGCTCCATCTGAAGGACCAGGCTGCCATCTTTTGGTGGTTTGGCTTTTGTTGGTTTGTGTGTTATATACAGACAATGTCTAGCCGAGCTGACACTGATCTACGACCTGAAAATGTTCTTTATACTTTTTAACATCTTGTACTGTGGAAAGCTCGGGCCGTGAGCTTAGGGCAGCCCCAGCTCCTGAGCTGCAGAGTAACAAATGTGTAAGGGGTGAAGCCAGAGCTGCCTGTCCTGGCTTCGTTCTGCTGTGGGTCAATGAGGGATGCTGAATGATATCCTGCAGCCTGCTCTGCTGCCTTCAGCCAGCTGAAGTGCTGCTGTGGGTGCTGATCCCAGTGCAGGAGTTCTGTGCCACCCCTTCCCTCGCGGACAGGCCTGTGGTGCTCTGCTGGGAGGGGGTGACGTTCAGCAGTTCTCTAATACCAAAATGCTTCTGAAAGGAAAATATACTCCTGCAACACACTTTTATTAACGGTGGCATCCTTGTACCACAACAGCAGCTGCCCCCAACCAAGGGGCCTGGCCAGGCTGGAGAACAGCTTTAGGAATGCTTTTGTCCACGTGTTTGTTTTGAAGTGCTTGCAGACTCACTGGCTTTGCTAGCATTCCCAATTTCTCCCTTCAGGGCATCTAGCAATGTCTGAGAACTCTCCAGAATCTGAGAAAGAAGGAAATAAAAACAGCTTATGTATTTTTTTTGGTATCAACTAAACAGTTCTCTTTGAGTTCAGCTGATGTAGGGAGGGATCCTGCGCCCCTGAGAGCAGTACAAAACGCAGAATTTCGGTGTTCTGTCTCACTGCAGGGATGGCTGTGCAGGAATTTCTCTTGTTACACCCATATTCTGAATTAAAAAAATCCTCAAGCCATTTATCTGTCTTGAACACAAAGCAGAGACCTTCCTGCAGCAGGTTGTGGATTGAAGTTTACTTTTTGGAGCAGTATTAAAATTGCAGGCAGCAGACCCAATGTTTTCCACTACTAAACCTGCACGCTTCAAGTTTCTCACTTCGATAGGTAACCCCAAAATGACCTTAAATGAGACTAAATCTTGCTCCTTTCATTCATTTTCTTCTGTTTTTAGCACGTATTTTATATAATTAACACTCCCACCTGTTGTGCCCTAGGAGACCAGGTAACACCAGGCTTAGATCTCGCTGTGTGCAGCTCACCTCTTCACAGCGGACAGCTGTAACAGAATGTGGCTGCTGCAGTGCCAGCGATCGTCTGTACTCATTCCTATGGCCTTACAGGAGTGTGAAATGGTCAGAGGTGAAGAGCCCTGCAGGAGCAGAGGGGCAGGACGTGTGGGATCTTGCTGCCTTGTCCCCGTGGCAGAACATGGTGGGTGGGTTAGGGTGAGTCCTGAGACTCCCATGGGCCAGAGAAGGGCAAGGGGCACAATCGTACACAGGAGACCTGAATGCGCAGGAAAGGGACTCTGCTCCTCCTTTCTGCCTGCAGGATGACTGTGTTTCCTCTCCTCGCCCCTCAGCTTTTTACCTGCTGTGTCTTTGTCTCCTAATGTCAATAAACACGGATTTGTTTGTAGGATAGGGAGTTGTGGTTTGTATCTCAGGGAAGGTTTCTTTTCGAACCTGTGCTGTTTGTGGTGTAATTTTACAACACCACTTCTAAGCTGTTCCATTCTCGTACAAGTTCTCCCCAAACCTTTGGGCCATGAAGCACTTCCTTACACCACCTTCCCTTCCATACAGCATTCAGAAATGCCCTGCATGTCTTCTGAGGCTCTGTGCTCCTGAAAAGCGCTTTGGAAACACCACTTCTGCATCCTGGTGGGCTTGACATCCCCGTGGGTGTCATCACAGCACTGCCAGGAGCTCGGTGGTGAGCAGTGCTCTGCTGGGAGCCCTTATCTGTGTGCTGGCTGAGCGAGGCAGCAGGGCTGTGCCCTTGTGTGCTGTGCTGGGGTGTGTGTGATGGAAGCCTTGACTCTTCACAGTTATTAGCAGCTAATGTGCGAGATGCAGAGGGCTGACCAGGATCATCAGGCGTTAGAGAGACTGGGGTAAAATAATGGTGGCTGAACCAACTTCTCTTTTAGTGTTGGCTGATGAATATTCCACTAATGAGTGAATTGTGGCTGCTGGTTACATCCCTACTTCCATGTTTAGCTCTGGGCTGGGTGGGTGAGGAGGATGCCATGCTTACAAAGCACACGGGAGAAAGGAAAATGTAGGCAACTACCTGGAAAAAAACTTTTATTTCTTAAAGAAGAGCTGACTGGGGCTTGAATTAAGAAGTGAACTGAGCTGTTACCCTGTATGCAGAATGGAGCAGTCACAGAATCATAGAATCATTTGAGTTGGAAAGGCCCCTTAAAGGCCATCAGGTCCCACTCCCTGCAGTGCACAGGGACACCCACAGCTCCAGCAGGGCTCAGAGCCCCAACATCCTGACCTTGGCTGTCTGCAGGGATGGAGCATCACCAGCTCTCTGTGCAACCTGTGCAGTGCCTCAATGCCCTTATTGTAAAAACCTTTTCCCTTATGTCCAGTCCAAATCTCCCTCTTGCAGTTGGAAACCATTTCCCCTTGTGCTATCACAACAAAACCTGTTAAAGTCGGTCCCCTTCTATAATATAAGACATTACTGCAATCCCATCTTGTTCGGAAACATTTTCCAGCTATCCAAAGCTTTTTCATCTAGAGGAGTTTGCATCTTCGGGACAGAAGGCCTTTGGAAGATATTCCCATCCCCAGCGAGAGGCTGTCAGCAGGGACGAGGCACCGCCTTTCTGTGCAACCCTCGCAGCGCCCCCCGCCCTCTCTACACAAACTCACTACACGAACTTCTTCCTTCCCCCTAACTCCACCTCCCGTCCGCAGCTGGCAGCGCCGATCCCTGCCGGCCGTACCTTGCCGTATGCCGCCTCGCTCTCAGCGATGCTGGCGTCCAGCTGGCAGCGCGCACTCAGATGCCGGGCCGTGCGCTCGGAGCTCCGTGCCAAGCGCTCCGTGAGCGCCGCGATGCGGCTCTGCAACCGTCCGCGCTCCGCCTCCTCCTCCCGGATCCGTTCGCTCAGCTCATCCCGCCGGGCGCGGAGCTCCGCCAGCGCTGCTCGGGACGACCGTGCGTGTGATCACCGAGCTCACGCAACCCCCGTCGCCCCCCTCCGGCCCCGCTCACCCACCCTCCAGCAGCTCGCCGTTGTACCCTCGCAGCGCTTCCCCCTCTCCGCTCATCGCGCGGCCCCAACGGCGGCGCGGCGCTCCGCCCCTTCCTGCGGGACATGGAGGCGGCGGGCGCGGGGCTGTCCGCGGCGTGGAGCTCCGTCAGCGCCGCTTTGGTGCCGCCCGCCGCGCTGGGGCTGGTGAGCGGGGAGCGGAGCCGCGCGGGGCCGCGGGGGGACGGGAAGAACGGGGCTGTGCGGGGTCCCGGCAGCCCGGTGGTGGCCGCCGCGTGGGTGTCGGGCTGAGGGCCCCCGGCACGCCGCCGTGTGAGGGATGCCGAACGTTCCGGGAGGAAGGAGGTGATCCTGGGCTGCGCGTGGGTTGGTCGCGACGAAAGTGACGCCTTCTGTTGTGTTCTGTGGAAGCTGTAATTAGATATAAAGAGATGGTAGTGGCAGTAGAGCTGCTCGCGCTAAATTCTCAGCTCTTTCAGTGTGCAGCCACCACCGTTAGCTATGCTTTTTCAGCAGTGATGAACAGTAGCTGTGTGCTGCCCTCGTTCATAAGCAGCTGCACAGCTGGGGGTGACCACTGCCCCTGTCACTGCTGCTGAAATGCACCACCCACCCCTCACTGTGCTCACATCCACTTTTTTTTCTCTCCACAAGCATTGATAAATGTCAACGGGTGCCATTTTCTCCATGCAGAGGAATTCAGTTCCACCCTTTGCTCCTTGCACTTCCATGTCAGACACATGGCGATGGCATATTGGTGGGAAGGTTCAGCCTCTGCTGCCATCCCACCCACATCCCCCTCTGACACAGTGGGCCAATACAATAAAATAGGAGGCATTACTTTCGGAACAGCCCTCATAAACTATGTAATACAATTAATGTCTACAAGCGATAAAACTGATTTTAATCCAGTCGCGTTGGGTTTGTGGGATGGGCAGAGCCCACACATCATCACTCTGTGGGCTGTGGGTCCCTTCTGGCACATGTCTGCCTACAGAGTCAGAATGGTTGGGTTGGAAGAGTCCTTACAGATCACAGCATGGTTGGGTTGGAAGGGTCCTTGCAGGTCAGAGAACCATAGAATGGTTGGGTTGGAAAGGTCCTCATTGAGCACAGCACGGTCAGGTTGGAAGAATCCTTATAGATGGCAACATGTTTGGGTTAGAAGGGTCTTTTATAGATGACAGAACCACAGAATGGTTGGATTGGAAGAATCCTTACAGCCCACCCACCCTGTGCTGTGGGCTGGCTGCCCCACACCGTGCCCAGAGCCTCACCCATGGCTGTGGGCACCTCCAGGGATGGGACATAAAGAAGCGGCTGTGTGCTCAACGCGTCCCCTCTGCTCCCCAGGCAGCAGCACGGTGTGACCCGCTGTGCCCACTGCAGGATGCTGAGCTGCGTGGCGCCCTGGAGGTGCTGCGCTGCTATGGGCTGCACACTGCGGTGGAGGAGTGGTTCCTGGAGGTGCTGCAGACCGACCTGCAGGCCCACATCGCTCCCGAGTTCTGGAACTGCATCGGCCAATACGAGAACACGGCGGAGGAGCAGCAGTGCTCCGCGCTCCTCCTGGATGCATTTTGTCTTCTCAAGTGCCGCCTTGAGCCCTACCTGAGCAGCATGGAGCTCCTGGAGGGCTGGACCAAGGCGGGCCTGCTCCTGGGGACGGGTGCTCAGACGCTGCGGGAGAAGGTGTACACCATGTTCAAAGCCATCCTTTTCTTCTCCACCACCAAGCCCTTCCAGGAGATGATCCAGCAGTTCTACAGCCGCACCTTCCGGATATACATGAGGCAGTGGAAGAAGGGAGAAGAAGGAATGAACGAATGTGAGAGCAGCATGAGTGAGGCTGAGCAGGAGAGCGACACGGAGGAGAGCGGAGGAGAGAGCGCTGCGTGCGCGGGCTGTGGCAGCAGGAGGGAGCAGTGCTGGTGTCCCACGGCCATGGAGCGGTTCCGGCAGCTCAACGACATTCTGTATGTATGGCACAGGGCTGCCCCACAAGCAGGAGGTCCTGTGAGGGCAGCAGCCCTGGGTTGATTCGTGGCTGAGAAATGGAGGAGCTGTGCGTGATGTTATACCCTGGGTAGGGGTCCTGGGTTGGAATCTTCTCACGTGGGTTCTGCAGCTGCTTGCTGGCTGCTGATTGAACTGGAGTGGTCCTTTGGGGAGAAGTGCCTCTCACTGGGGATGGGAATATCTTCCAAAGGCCTTCCAAGGTCCCAAAGAAACAAACTCCTCTAGAAAATGTTTCTGAATAAGATGGGATTGCAGTAATGTCTTATATTATAGAAGGGGACAGACTTTAGCAGGTTTTGTTATGATAGCACAAGGGGAAATGATTTCCAGTTACAAGAGGGGAGATTTGGACTGGATATAAGGGAGAAGTTGTTTGCAGTAAGGGCAGTGAGGCACTGCACAAGTTGCACAGAGAGCTGGTGGTGCCCCATCCCTGCAGACAGCCAAGGTCAGGCTGTTGGGGCTCTGAGCACTGCTGGAGCTGTGGGTGTCCCTGAGCACTGCAGGGAGTGGGACCTGATGGCCTTTAACAGTTCTGTGATTCTACAATCCTAAGACAGTGTTTCTGAAAAAAATCTGATAGCATTCGTGTGATGTATTGTGTGAGTAGTGCATCACTGCCAGCCATCAGAGTGCTTACATTAAGAGCTATGCCTGCACCTGTGCACCACGTGGCAGCAGGTGCTCTCTGTTAGCTCGGTTTTCTCTGTGTGCTTTTGCTTCTGCTCACTCACTCTGGTCTCTGTGTCCGCAGCCGCCGGCTGAATTTGCTGGAGAGAGTGAGTGCTGATGCTGTGACCACCATCCTGCACAGGATGATCAAGGAGAGGATGGAGCGGCGATGCCGGGGTGAATATGAGCACTCCTTCCTGAACGAGTTCCAGGAGGTAAGGAAGGCCCTGGCTTTGGAGGTGTGGAGCTGCTCCTGTTCCTGCTGCTAAATTCCCAACTCCTCCTCAATTCCCCAGTCCTGGGCTGTGACTTCCACCACCCCTGGCAGAAGAGGAGTGGTTAAAACTTGGCATTTAGATTTGTGCTGGAGGAGAGGGTCTGCTCTGCCCTACACACAGCAGGTCGTTACGTTTCACCTGGCAATGGCCCTATTGGCCCCGTCTGCATCCAGGCCTGGGGCCTCCAGCACAAGAAGGGCATGGAGCTCTTGGAACAGATCCACAGAAGGGCCACTGAGATGATCAGAGGGCTGGAGCTCCTCTCCTGTGAGGAAAGGTTGAGGGAACTGGGCCTGTTGAGCTTGGAAAAGAGGAGGCTGCAGGGAGACCTCATGGTGGCCTTACAGTGCTTGAAGGGAGCGTATGAACAGGAGGGGGAATGGCTGTTTGTGAGGGTGGATGGTGATGGGACAAGGGGGGTGGTTTTAAAGTGAGACAGGGGAGGTTGAGGTTGGATCTGAGGAGGAAGTTTTTCCCCCAGAGGGTGGTGAGGCACTGGCACAGGTTGCCCAAGGAGGCTGTGGATGCCCCATCCCTGCAGGCATTCAAGGCCAGGCTGGATGTGGCTCTGGGCAGCCTGGGCTGCTGGTTGGTGACCTGCACACAGCAGGGGTTGGAGCTGGGTGAGCACTGTGCTCCTTTGCAACCCAGGCCATTCTGTGATTCTGTGATTCTATTAATGAAGGAATTTTGGTGGTTCTGTTCTACCAACACTGTGAAGGCAGTATGCCATGCAGCTGCAGCCAGCCTTCCCTGCGTGTAGATGGGAGTTTGTGTGGCTGTTTTCAGTCCTAAGTTGCCTGCACCCCTTTAAAACAGGAAGCAGTGTGGGCAGGTAGTGTTCTTGCAACTCCTCAGTTCTCTTGCTGCTGCCTTGCACCGAGTTTGTGTGGAGGTCTTTGCTCTGTATGACCTTAAAGCTCCTCTCAAGGTTCTGGCTGCTCTGGGACGCAGGCTGTGCTCTGCATGCTCGCTCTGTGCTCTTTGTTCCTTGATGCATGGCCTTACGTTGGTCTGCGCTGACGAACAATGTGTGAGGTCAGGTTGCCATGCGAACCAGGCAGCTCCGTGCTGTTGTCCTGGTTTCCTCACTGTGTGCCACGCTGGGTGCTTTTGTTGTCTGCAAATGCTGGCAGTGATTTGGTGTTTATTTTTCTACAGTTGCTGTGCAACACTTTCTTGTCTGGCTCTGCTGCAAAGGGCACTGAGAGACAAATTCCTAGGGAGCATGGTTGGATAAAGGTGTTCCTCACCATCGAGGTGCTTTGCATTGATGATTGCCCTTTCCTTTTGCTCTTTAGAATGCTTGTCAGCTTTCCCAGTATTGCCCAGGACTGATGCTTGGGTGCTCTCTGCTGCAGCAGGTTCTTGTGCCTTGTAGTCCTATGGGCAGAACTCATGCACTCCTCCAGTCGTTGGTCAAGCAGACAACCAAGCATTAATACTGGCACCCCACACCCAAACTCAGCATTTTTCAGGCTGCCCAAACCTGGTTATCAAAACATAATAGCACCTAATAACTATTAATACTCAAGTACTGCCTCAAGTAGTGACACTGGAGAATGGGCAGGAGAGTGATGATGACATCTCAGAACCAGGGGACTGGATCCTGACTCAGTTGATGCAGATCCAGGTTAATTAAGAGCAGGCATCAAGGTGGCCCGCTGTCTCCCCACGGCTGGTTGTAGTCTTGAGTCACTCATTTGGTTGTGCCAGTCTGGGCTGGGGCTTTGCTCATCTCACATTTCTCTCTGCTGCATTTCAGTAGGGAAATCAAGTTCCAAGTGCTGATCCTCAGACATCATCAGGCATTTGCCATCTTAGGAAGAAAATAAACCCATTTGTTCTGAATATCTGGATGTAGTGGTTGGGTGCGTTTGAATTATGACAAATATGACAAAGTAGAAAATGAAATCTCCAGTATATGAAATCAGCCTCTGATGCTCTTTGATCGGGTTGTAGGATATTATTATGAAAGGGCTGGGTTGGTATTGGGGTTGGTAAAGGGCTTGTCTCAGTGCCTGTGTTTGGTTGGTAGGTCTGGGAGTGTTTGGGGATGGCTTGCTTGTTCTTTATTGATTTCAGGAACCACTGAAGTTCTGGGTGAGGGTGCTGAGCTGAGCACTTTGCTCCTGTTCCTTCAAAGAGAACAGTTCTGCAA